TAAAATAAATCATAAATATTGAAACAATATTGTAACTTGTCTTTACGAAAAACAACAATTAGATAGTATTAGATATTATTAAATTAATAAGGACATACAAAGTTACACATTACAAGCAATTATGTTACACATTATAAGTTGAACTGGAACTATAATTATAGTAGTCTTCAAGTAACATTTCCGTAAATTACGTCGATACAAAGTTTTCAAATAAGACGAACAACCGCCCCTGGCGCAGTTTGCGCGCACTAATAAATTAGTATTGATTACTGCTCCTACGGTAAAACCACTGATGGCCACATTGCTTATATTATATAATATTATTAATTGAAAAAAACATTGCTTATCTCACCGGTTTGTTCGTGTACATTTTATAAGATATCTTTTATTTTTTTTCAGAAAGCCCCCGTCCTACTTCCTCAAAGACAATCATACATAATGAATCAACTTTCACACAATTACCGATTCAGTAAGTTTTATTGTTAATTACATTAAATAAAACTTTGATTTTTTTCAGCAAGTTTTCATAAGTTAATTAACATTTCAGGACGAGTCACCAAGTGCCTAAAATTAAAGTAGGACCCGACCTGCGGAGTGCGAGAAAGTATAGACACCATGTAAACAAGTAAGTGGCTCGTTAAGTAACTCTGACTTGAAACCAGAAGGTTTTGTTATGTAGATTTTAATTTTAATTATATTTTTTTATTTTCAGGTTAAAACCTCCGATCCCACAATTAACACCACAATTTACCCCGCGAACGCATTTACAAACGACTCTCGAACTGTCACCAAACAAGCCGCCATTTTTGCCGCCAATGCTAACATTCCCAATGACGCGCGCGAATCAACCCAACATAACCTCTGATGTAGAAATTAAGAATTTTTTGCTCAACACAGCGCTGCAGAACGCACTGACCGGTTCATTGAACCAACTAACGCAAAGGAAACCTTATACGAAACCGAACGATGTTGCAAGGAAACCTTGTATCGATAATGAATTTGTTAACAATAACAACGAAGAAGGCCACGGTAGGAAGAGACTTCACAAATGTGATGTGGCTGGATGTCATAAAGTCTACACGAAAAGTTCACATTTGAAAGCGCATAAAAGAACACATACAGGTGAGAACAAAATACTCATTCAAATGTAGAAAATAAAAAACAAATGTGAGAGATTCATTCAAAACTAGCTGTTGCCCGCGACTTCGTCCGCGTGGTATTAGCAAACAGACGAACTATGTAAATAACAAAAACTACGTGTCCCTTATAAACCGGACATTTTTCGGGGATAAACCTTATCCCATGAGTCCAGACTTTGTTTTATATCTGTGCCAAATTTCAATAAGATATGTTGAACCGTTGCAGAAGTATCGAGTAAACATTAAAATACAAAATTAATGCATCCCACGGGAACCGTAACTATTTCCGGGATAAAAAGTAGCCTATGTGTTCTTCCAGACTATGCTCTAAACCTGTGCCAAATTTCATGGAGATCCGTTCAGCCGTTTAAGCTACAAACTCTGACAAACATCCATCCATCTAAACTTTCGCATTTATAATATTAGTATGATTTATCTTGCAAATTCCAGGTGAGAAACCATACTCGTGCGGGTGGGCGGGCTGCGAGTGGCGTTTCGCGCGCTCCGACGAGCTGACGCGACACACGCGCAAGCACACCGGACACCGGCCCTTCACCTGCCCGCTGTGCAGGCGCTCCTTCGCCAGGTCAGACCATCTAGGATTGCATATGAGACGACATTGATATTACACACAAACGTATACAAACATAAAATAACTGGGTGACTAAATGGGCAGTGATAGAGTTACTTTTTGTTAGTTAAAAAAGACAATCAAATTTATTCCTTTGTTCTTCTTATTATTGAGATATTAGGAAAACACCAAATGGCATGTACCATGATATAATTAAAAAAAAAGACATAGAAAATGTATGAAAACGCGTTTGTAAACAATTTATCAAAAACACTAAAATTGGACCAATTTACAAAGTAATAAAAAAGACAATATTCGATTTTCGTATATAATGTATAAAAATTTCATATACAAGTATTAAAAATCGATTTTCAAATATAATAGCTACAGGAATTATCTCTATTAAACAATATTAATATAAAAGGAAACAAAGATATGATATGTCTATAACAATTTAAATGAATAACGTTATTTTTATTTTAATGTCCATTTTACATTATTCCAATCCTGCGATCCAATCTTTGGAATATTCCCGGAACAATTTCAAACCCACCTGGAAACAACATGAGTGGGTTTACATTTTTCCTGTTGTATTCTAGCAGTTCAATGGATCGCTGGACTGGAATAATGTAATCAGGACATAAAGAACTTAGGGTACGGATCAAACATTTGAATATAAAAAAAAATGAAAATACGAATTTAAATAGTATTTAATTAGTAATAAGTTTTTAAGACTATACAAGTAAATGAGTGTTGGTATAATCGTCACAGATGCAGTAATATTTTATTACTGTCTTGATGTGAACTATATCGTGGCATTACAGTAAACTTGGGCCAGTAAAGTTTATACATTTATTATTTTTAGTTCGAAGTAAATACTTAGTGTGATATTTACGAATACATCTTTTGATGTTAGTTTTATATTTCCTAAAGTTTTATAGATTTAAGTGTATGTAGATATTAGTTATTTTAATACATATTTAAGATTAAAAAAATATATATATATTTGTACATTTTATATTACAGCCTTATTGTTTGTTATACATTTATTTGTTTGGTAGTAATTACAGTATTAATCAATATGGATGATTTTTTTAATACGAATCTGTTACATTTTTCACAAAATTCTCTATTTTTCGAATCTCAGGACAATATGTTTATTACGATATATTTTATTATATTTATGTACTTTAATGGAATACAAAAGAGTAGGATAAGTATTTACTATAAACTAGGCTTAGTTTTACACTCCAGTGCTCAAAATATGAAGTTCCACAAAATGAAACGTACAGGGCAATTGTGGCAATATTAGTGTTATTAAAAGAATCCTATTATATTTACTTAATTATAAAAATTAAAAAAATTAGACATTTTTATGTACTGTTTTGTTTCAAATGTTTATAAATATACCAATTTATAGAAATATATTTAATAATAAGTAACAATTTTATACGGTTAATAAGTATATATATGGTTTGTTAAAAATTGACCCAATAAATAAAATTGGGGAACATCCAAATTTATTGACTGTAGTGCTATATAAAGACAGCTACACACCTTCAGTTTCAGACTATAGTTTAAACTTGTGTTTAAGGAAAATTTGAAATGCCAGTTAAAACAGAATGTGTGTAGGATGCATGCGAATATTGTGACTCATTTTAGCAGATCTCGTATATGGACAAGCGTTTGAATATAGTGGTAAAATTAAATAATTAACAGCCACTAGTTTACTGATATAAATTAGTAAATTAGATTTAAAAAAAAAGTTTAAAAAAAAATATTTACCACTTCCACAAAATTACGACGTAAAAATTTTTCAACTCTATTTTAATTAGTATAATTAGATGTAAGTTTTGTATAGGTTAAATAAATAATTTCGGGGCCAGTATTTTTGAAATTACCTAGAATAGTAGTGAAATATAATATACACGCACAATAATATTAAATTGCCTGACTTTTAGGCCAGTGACTTTTTTAATGTTTACACAATCAAAATTTATTGAAATCTAAACGTAACTTGTTGATCTCAAATTGGGTATTCCTTTCTCTCTATTATTGTTATTTTTTGATCTCAATTAATTGCATTGTATTACTTGTTTTATCAAATTTCCACGTACTTATTATCAGTAATGTGTTATGTCAGTTCACGTAATTTTAAAGATTTTACGTTTACTCTTTGTATTGATTTTAATAACTTAACCAGTTTTTCAGTTAAAGCCTCTATATTAAAAAAATCACAGCATTTGATTTTTAAGGTGAGCTTCCACTGCAGTGGAACAATCGCACAAACCCATCTGCAGTTCCTCTGGTGTTGATGTTCATATGAGTCGATGAACACCTATGTTTTCTCGCCGCTTGTATATTGTTGTCCCTTGCAATCGTCTTTGATAATACAGAGATAGCAATATGATTCCGTACAACTGCACTGATCTCTAAAAATGGATAGCTTGGACTTCTCTTCGTTCCTATTGTTAGTTCGAATATTCATCATAGTTACAAACAGCTACCATCAGTACCAAAATGTCGAAAAACAATTAGGCGTAATGTACCAAGTCTTATAGCCTGTCCATTTTTGGATGTCAGTGTTCAAGTGTTAGAGAATACGAGGGTTGAGTGATTCATTCTTATAATCTTTGCTGATATATAATTATAAAAAATAAGTGTGCATTCAAAGCTATGAACATTTTGTTCAAAGAATTAAAATGTTCATATGGCCATGTTGGCCATTTACATAAAAAATCTTGTAAATAAGCAATCTTGAAAAACTTTGGTGCTGGACTGTGGTTTTTATATTTTTTATAATTCATTATTTTGCTCATGTACTTATAGTTTGATTTTTTGTATATGTTTATATTAAAACATGGCATTAAATGGTGGTAATGATGGTATTTCCCCATATAATATATAAAAAAAAAAATTACATAAAATATTAATCGAATTGGTATATCCTAATTTGTATTACAGAAGCAATTTTTATTTGTACACAGTATTTTTACAATACATAATGAAAGAACATTTAATTGTTGTTTTATTCACCTTTTTTCATCAATTTTTAAACTTGCAGGAAACTTGAAGAAAAGGAAATGTATTTTTTCTGTTTATCCTCCTCTCTTTTCTCTATATTAAAAGTGAAATTTGCAAATAACAAAATTATTGTGTTCCTTGCAGATTCTTATGGTCAACTTTTACTTAACTGAACCGAAACCACGTGCTCATTGACCACATACTACTAAAAAATGACTCTAAAGAAAAAAGGTTTTCATATACTTTCTATTTACCGACTTTGACAATATTAAAAAGAAAAAAATTGTGTTATGTCAAATTCTCTATACAATCCGGAGTACTTTTAAATACATAAATCTTTTAAAATGATAAAAAAATAATAATATAAAAAAATGGCGTAAGTATATTTGTCTAATATTAATTTGTAAGGTTATACGTATATATCTCATGTAGAATGATTGACAACACGAGTAAAGCTGGATTTCTTTATATCGGAACACCAGAAATTTAAAAAATCTCTACTATAATTACTTGCGTATGTCCATGGGCGTCGTTGACCACCTCTATGATCCCGGCGCTCGTTGCCCCCTTCTCTTAAAAAAAAAAGAACGAAAGTTCTTCCAATGGAAATTTCGGAATATACTGTAGGTGTTATATTCACTTTCCAAACTAGTATCGAAGTAAGTTTAAGTTCTATCAGTTTTCTCGTATTTATTTAGATGCGAGGTATGCGAGCATTGTTCGGAACCAATCGGCGCTGGTGAAAAAGTCGTCTGCGAAGGCTACAGCTACCATAAACAGTGCAAAAAGTGCTGTAAGTACATTATTTGTACAATTAGAGAAAAAGATGCTTGTAATAAATACCTAAGTGAGTGCATTAGCACAAATCTTGGGACAGCATTCCAAAAATCTATACAAGTTAATGGTCAAACCAAACTATAGTACTCTATTTAAATTCCAAGTTGGCACGCCTGACAAAAGAGTATTCTTGTCCGTGATGCGCCTAATCAACTATCGAGAACTATTAACTTTGTTGTAACTTTTCCAGTTGTATGCAATGAAAATGATTTAACCGACGCGGAAATATTTAAAGGCGTTATATTTTGTTCGAAATGTTCAGCACGATTGTTCCATACAAACAAAGACAACTCTAATAAGAATAAAGATAAAAACCCTAACAAACTACATGAGTTAATGTTGAATACCACTCACGAAACCTTTAGAGAGTTTGGAAAAACTTCAATACTCACTTCAAAGACTTCAGTAGATCGTGTTGAAGAGAAAAACAAAAGGTAATATGTGTCTTATTTTTTTTATCATAATATAAGTTGGCAAACCAGTAAGCGGCCACCTGAATTTACCGAAATGGAAAGCGACCGCTACCTATAAACATCCGCATCTCCTCTACCGTAAAATACACTTTACCTTCCCATCCTTTCCTCTTAAGAAAAGGGTGGAAAGGGACTAAAGTTATTCTCTAGAAATCGCCGACCGTACGCAGATTATGTCCACTACTAGATCTAATGAGTGATCACCTTTAAAATTTATAGAAACGATATACCTACGTATGTTATAAGCTAGTTACAATTTAATTTACTTATTTCAGCAAACCAATTCCGCTACATCCTGGTTCCGAGATAAAGTATTTACGGATGAAAATGGGTTCTGAACATGTAAGTTATTATGTTAAATATTTATCCACCTATATCGGAGCAGCAAAACGTGTGTGAACAAATAGTAGATTTTATTTCTATTTGTTTTTCAGACATCAATTCTAAAGAAATGTGATCCAGGTTAGCGAATTTTGTGATTACCTAAAATTTGTTGCTCTTCCAGTAAAAATATTACAGTTTTTATTAGCTTTACATGTTTTTTTTTTCAGACATTAAAGTGTCCGTAGAAATGAAACAATTATATAGAGAATCCCTTCGGTCTACATTGACCAATGAGTAAGCGTCTTAATAGTTTTTTTTTCTTTTAAATTTTAATTTTTTATACATTTAAATATGATTCTGATTATTTCTTTGACAGCCAAAAACTCGCACCATCTCGCCTGCCGCCTAAATATATTAAATATAGGAAGCCGGTTGGTCATCTCATTAAATATTTTATTTCTCATATTAATAGTGTGCATAGATCTAATATTGACTTCTTGTTATATTTAGAGCAGTAACCGCCTTAGCGATATGAGAGTAGCAGGTTAGTAGAACATATTCAAAACTATCACAATTGGAATTTTACTAATTTTTTTTAATGAAAAATATTAGTAGATTTTGTTAATTTACTAATATTTCCTTTAACCATTCCAACTAAGCTCTAAGCTTGTGCTAGGATATGGTTCACGACAATAGTCGAATGGCGGAATTCGAACCGTCGACCGCAAGATCGGTAATCCGTACCCCAAACCATTAGGCTATTGGCGCTTAAGTTGTTTAAAGTTATGTAGTTGTGTGAATTTTATAATTATGAGTTTTATGTATTGTACAGAACTTGGTACGTCAACTGAAATCGCTAATACTGCTTTAAGAAAAAAATCCGAAGACGAAGCTGTAGTAATTAAATCAATGTAATTACTTTTTATTTAATTAGTTTCAAATCATTGCTTATTCAGTGATAATGTTTTTATACGTGGACCGTCTTGCTAGACAAGCGATAAAATTGTCGTCGAATAGAGTTACATCTCTTATGAGGTATTTTAGATATTATGTAGCTTTTAAGGATTAATAGGTTTGAACATGGACAGGGTACCGCTGAAAAGGACAGCGTCATCAATCATGTCGGGACTGAACACTAGTGAGTATCATTTGATGACGTCACGATCAATCTGCCTTACTTTATTAAAATGCGTAACGTTTACAGATGAATCGGGTGACGGGGACGATTCCATGAGCAGCGAACTTGATTACTCCGTTTCCATGAAGTCACATAAAAAGTAAATAATAAAGCTGTTATAGTCTGTGCCGTAATTTTCCTTCAAACTCATTTTGTCAATTTTATCATACTCTTAGAAAAGTCTCTGGATATTTAGGGAGACAATATTTATTCTGACGTTTACAAACTTAATAATGTTGAAGAAATTTTGATAACATTAAGTTATTATCTACATTTAGAAGATTGTTAAACTTGTTAACTTTTTTTAGACATTGGATGGATAGAAGAATAAGAAGTATTATGAAAATACCATACACTAGTTGTAAGTACATGAATTACAGACTGTTTGCTATATATTCTTCGGACAAAAACAATGTTATTGGTTTTTTAATTATTAAGATTTATTTATTTTTACATTCCTTTTTTTCAAATTAACGTTTTCAATATAATTTCAGTCAAGAGAAACATTTTAAAGCAAAGTTCGATTGTGAGCACTTTGATGAGCGTCGAACACGACCCACAGTGAGTTTTAATCGAACTAATCTTAAGAGAATGAATATCTTTATTAACTTATGTGGTCATAACGCATCATTTCGCTCGCTGGATTATGGTCAATTTGGCCATATTCATTCGGCTTCAGTTGTAAATAAAAAGCTAATGACGCATCGAGGTGAAACAGACAGGAAAATTATCTTTTCTTACAAATATTTTATTAAAAAACAACTAATTTAATGTTTCAGGAGTTTCTTGAAAAAGATTAATTCATTATTTCATGAGGAAATAACCGAACATCAACGTAAGTCCAATAAAATAACCCTTTTTTGTGAGAAAAAGTTGTACCTGTATTTATTTTACTATTTATCAGGTCGAGGGCTGAAAAGACTTTACTCAACTATTAATCGAAGACAGTCGCCGCATAAGTTGGGATGGTAATAAAAAAGTAATTCTTAAAATTTTAGTCGAAGAATGTATAGTACCATCGTCAAAATGGCACGTCGGAAAATACCTCGTAAAAATAAAAAATACACATCATACGCAACTAGAAAAAAATTACACTTAGGTTTAGCTTTGTTGAATTTAAATATAAATTTATTCCAGGTTGCGTTTGATGCAGAAGATGGATGAACAAATAAGGTAATCCCAAGATTTTGTCGAATTATGCAGCTTTTTGTAGAAGGTCTTTGTAATTTTTCTTCTGTGCCTAGTTTTTGGCACTAGTTTTAATTAGTCTTGGGTAGTACACGTACGATGTACTAAAAAGTAATGTTACTCGGCACTGTACTAAAAGTAACGTTACCGAACGGCTTACTTTTAGTACACTACACGATATTGGTGTTCGCCTTTTTGTCAGATTGAAGCATCCACCTTCGATAATGAGAATCAAAAGTGGATAAAATTATTCATAACTAAATTTACTTTCGCTAATAACATATGTTTGACCCTGCTTAAAATTTGATGTGAAGTAATATATAACCCTTGTTATATTCTATTCATGCATTGTGTTTTCACAAATCTGAAGTACTAAAGGTACTAAAATACGTTTTCCCAATTGTACTAGTACGGTGCGCACTTGCAGATGTCCGATTAAGCCCAAGACTAGTTTTAATGTTGCCAAAAACGCGAAGATACTCAAAGGAAAGCTTTAGATTTTTTGTTACCATCAACTTTGATGTCTTAAATAGTATCGCATTTCTTTTCACCAGCTGCAAGCATTTGAAAACTTCTCACAGTTATCGCTGCATGCGCGCGCACGTCATGCGAATCGCCGGTCCTACAAAGAGCCAGTAAGCATAAAAATATTTAAAATATAAACACGTAGTTGTAGGGTTTCATAAGTTACAATAAGGTCGTACCAAAAGTTAAATAGTCAGATGTTATTGATTAAAAAAAAATAAAGGTTGATCTATTTTTCTTAAAAAAAAATTTCAAATTGTTGAATAGGGGAAGGTTTGGGGAATCTAGTGTAACAGTTGTTTACAATGATGAAATGAAAATGGCGGTAAAATAAATTACTTTTTTTCTAGATTAGCAGGGTTTCGTGCAAAACTTTTTAGGATGCTTGTCCCAAGTCCAAGACCAGATATAAGGTGTAAAAGTAAGTATAATGTTTTAGCAAAAATTAAAAAAACATACATGCATTAAATGTGATTTTTGTTTCTAGGTAAACATGTAACACCTTCATGTCCCATGGTTATTGACTCAAGAGTATCGTGAAGTAACAATATCCTTTATAGAAATTAGATAGTGTAAAAAAGTATGCTCAACTCTCCGAAAAAACATAAATAAGACAAAAATACATTAGTACACTTTTTTACAACTTCTAGAAAAACAAAATGTTACTATCTTAGGTTTTCAGACTGAAAGATTCATGCAAAAATGAGAAGTTTTTGTTACAAATGTTTTGCAGTGGAAATTCTTGCTAATTATGAAAAATTTAACAAATTCGGAGTACCATTGTAAAAAATAAAGGTTACTTATTGTACAGCAATTAATGTCATAATTTTTATTGTCATTGTCTTATTGTATTTTAATAAACGGTCCTTAATGATTGACTACTATTGATTTTGTTCCTGGGTAATAACATGGTCATAGTACAATAATCTTGCAAATAATACTTGTATCTAATAAAATTGGTCTAATACAATAAAACTGAAGTAGAAAATTAGGTTTCCATTTATTCAATGTTCTTACACTTAATTATATTCACAAATATAGTCCAATGTTTGTTAAAACTTAGATGTTAGGTTATGTTGAGGCGACTATCTTGTAGACACTGTCGCTTCTTTCCTCGCTGCATCTTGTAGTAACTGTGTGTCAACTTCGTCTGCTGGTAATTGGACATAGCGCACAACAGAACCACGAATAAAACAATTCTTCACCGACAACATGTGAGGGTATTTATCCGGATCAATGACGCTTATATCGGATAATTTTATGTTCAAATATTGATCGACAGAATGCAATGTTCCACATATGCTAAGGTCGTTTTTTAATTCCACCACAACATCTTTGCCTATTAACGATTTAAAGAATGAATAAAACAACATTTTGCTCGTAAAGTAACAAACTAATTAATTTGTAAACACTTAAATTGACAGCAGCCTTAGGCGGTGACGCGGTGTTTGACATTGACAGAACTTTTCACAGACCAAATATTCCGCCTTACTGCATCGACCATAGACTATTAAATTGCCATATTTTTTGTCTATAGTGAATTACAACTCTTTGGTGACATGTTTTTGTTCGTCATCCATGTTTTTTCGAGGTTGTTGCATTGCTTGGATATATAAAGATTTGAAATATTTAGTAATGACAAAACAACAATACAAATTACAAATATGAGAAAATAGTATTTATGTGTGATACCTGTGTAGAGTATAACAGTATACAAAAATAATAAGCAAAGTTACATGTTTAAGTTTTAACACAAGCGTAAGCAAAATCAACAGGCCCTCACGATGGCCGCTGCATTGACGGACGAAAATGCAGAGATTGTAAGTATATTTACCATCCAATTATATACTAATTAGTCAGTTGTTCACAAATCTTATTAAACTGTTTTCCAGGATTGGGGTAACGAAAGATTAACTCGAGCTCAGAAAGCAGTTGAAGCAAATGTGTATGATGTGGATTCATGGTCTTTACTCATCAGGGAAGCCCAGACGAGGCCTATTAATGATGTACGGACAATGTATGAAAGACTTATTGGTGCATTTCCAACAACAGGCCGGTTTTGGAAGATATATATTGAACAAGAGGTTAGATATTTTATTACAATTTGTAAATTTATTACTTGTGAATATTTGCATTATTCCTATTGCAAGGTTAAAAAATTCAAATTTTCTAGTCAATCCATGAAATGTAAACAAATTATTCTAACCCATTAAACATTTTGATACATACCTTCAGTTGAAAAAAATAATATTGACATCTAGATGTGCCAATAAACATTTTTTTTTATTTTCAGATGAAGGCAAGAAATTTTGAAAAAGTTGAAAAGGTTAGTATTGGTACAGCGTAAGTTGGTTGTAAAAAATGTTAAATGCTCTGTGATATTAGACTAATAAAGATTAAATAAAAATAAACCATACACTAAGGTCTACAAATTATGTAAAATAACTATTAAGTTCAAATAAAGAAACCAGATAATGAAAATGCAATCTTTTTTTTCGGATAGGGTAACTGTGTTCAGACATATTGGAGGTGACTTTCTATGGTGAATATTCAGTTGTATAGAAAAGTATTTAGTATTCCTTTTTTTTTTAAACAATGTGCCAAAAAGCCATAGAAGATCACTTTTGAAATGTATTAAACCCTTTTAGTTGATACAAAAAATAACATTAAATTATTTCCTATATTTTTTAATTCCTATGTACTTTATTTAATTACACCTTTTCCTTTTTTCAAAAATCTCCACTTACAGTTTTAATATATTGTAAACAACATAAAGACAGGAAACAATTTTTTTTTGTAAGGCAAATAACAGGAAATTTAATAAAAAAAAATGGGACTTCATGTATGCAAAATAAAAAATAGTAAAGCTCAATTTCAATGACATGTTTTTGATCAGTTTTAGATATAATTGGTCTACAAACATACAAATTTCTGAATTCATTATTAGATGACATCTGGTTGGTGCTCATTTTAATTTAGAAATTTGATAAAAACAATAAATTTTTATTAGCGGTAACTTTGATAAGTGAGTTAATACTCTAAACAGCTTAACATAATTTTTTCATTTCCGTGATTCATTACCTTGTCAACAAAACAAGTGCTTCTTACCAGTAGAATACCGCACTGACTAAACAATTATTAAACAGAAAGTATTCTAATTTCTTGAATTTATATTCCTTTACCTTCACCTTATACTCATTTACAGAAAATGCTGTTCTATCACTATCAGATGTATCAGGTAAAAGTCAGGTCTATTTAGTGTGGACATCCACAAATTGCATGTTTCTTTAATAATTGACTTGTTCATACATGTGTAATAAAATCCCTTATTTTATACTGTTTTAACAACATCCAAAATGAATTACTCTGTGACAGACTACCAGATATGGAGTGTCTCCAATTTTTACAGTAGGTCTCACCAAAGGTTGACGCCATACAATAGTAATTTTTGTCTATATTCAGAGGCACTAAGACACCTTTATCCCACAACCTGGGTATAAAAAGTACTGTAAAATATTTGGTCCTTCAAGCCAGACATAGAATATTCATTAGATTGTTTGTATGGGTGTTTAGCTGTTCCAGCGCTGCCTTATGAAGATCCTCAATATAGAGCTCTGGCGGTTATATTTAAACTACGTAAAAGAAACTAAATGTATGCTGCCTACATACAAGTAAGTTTTTTTTTCTAAATTAGTATACATTTTTTTAATATTCTGTTCGAGTTGTACAACTAAACAGATTAAAAAAAAATATTGTTTAATATAAGTATACAATCTTTAGCATGTATTGGGTATTTATAGTAGTAACACTACAAATATTTTGATTTTCAGAGAAAAAATGGCACAAGCTTATGACTTTGCTCTTGAAAAAATTGGTTTAGATATCCACGCTTACCCGATCTGGAACGACTATGTGACGTTCTTAAAGGCGGTAGAAGCGGTTGGCTCTTATGCAGAAAATCAGAAGATTTCAGCTGTGAGGAAAGTACGTAGCAACATTTTATCCAGTATATGTTGAACTTCATGCTATTAATTATTGGTTATGATACTTCATACTAATATTATAAATGCGAAAGTTCAAATGGATGGATGGATGGATAGATGGATATTTGTTGCCTAAACGGCTAAACCGATTTTGATAAAATTTGGTATAAATGTAGAGGAAAGTCTGGAAGAAGACATAGGCTCTCATACTCGCTTTTGTTTTTTTTTAATTCCACGGGGACGAAATCGCGGGCGAACGCTAGTAAATTATATTATGTACATTATGGGAAGATCTGATTGTTTCTCTTGACAAATAATACATGTATGTAATAAGCTATTCTTTTTCAGGTGTACCAAAGAGCGGTTATCACTCCGATTATAGGAATTGAAACTTTATGGAAGGATTATATAGCTTTTGAACAAGGAATCAATACAATTATTGGTAAGATAATGTTAGAGATAATATTTTAAAAAGCCTTTCGTTAGTAATTCTCTATGTCCACTTGATTTATTACATCCATACATATCTCTTCTCTCGTCTTTAATGCAACACTATTATCATTGCGATCATTCATGGTATATGGTCGTGTATAATACATCATAGTCTTATTAGAAACGTTTAATCTACGCTTGTAACAGCCGAGCGTATGGCAATGGAGCGTTCTCGTGACTACATGAACGCGCGGCGCGTGGCCAAGGAGCTGGAGACGGTGACGCGAGGTCTCAACAGGAACATGCCTGCCACTCCCCCAACTGTAGATAGGGAGGAAATGAAACAGGTAATTTTTACGTCTTCTTATTGAAAAAATCAAAAACAAACTCGTATTTCGAACTTTAAAATACGAAAACCACCTCCCTTAAAGGTCGTCAACGTATCTGCGGTTACATGGATCAAATAATTTTAGGCGATTCGTTTCACAAAACTCAAATTTTACCTTGTTTTGTATTAGGTGGAACTCTGGAAGAAGTACATATCGTGGGAGAGAAGTAACCCTCTCCGGTCCGAGGACACGGCGCTGGTAGCCCGGCGTGTGATGTTCGCCATCGAGCAGTGTCTGCTCTGCCTCGCACACCACCCCGACGTTTGGCACCAGGCCGCGCAGTTCCTCGACCACTCCTCTAAACTGCTGCAGGAGAAAGGGGTCAGATGTTCAAGATTATATATAACTAGCTGTTCCTAAATAATAAAAATATGTAGCCTATGTTACTCACTGATAATGGTGAAAGAATTTTTAAAATCCGCCCAGTAGTTTTTGAGTTATTCCAATAATACAAAAAAAAAACAAATCTTTATAATATTAGTATAGATTAAAGTGTAAGTAAAATATTGTCTTAATTTGTATACAACTCAGTAGTATACTTCAACACTCTATAAAATTGTATTATACAAATAATTTACTAGTATACAGTTAGGTCGTATACTACCAGATTTGTATACTACTGAAATGTATTCTATATTGTAACCTGTTCTCCTATAAAGCATTACGTGACTTCTCTTGAGTTTTTCCGTGCCTTGTCGAATTATTATTATCAACTATACAATAGTATACATCCGGGTAGTATACATTACTCAGATGTATTCGTATGTGACGTCACATGTCACTCGTTGTATTTTCAGGATTCCAACGCAGCGCGTCTGTTCTCGGAGGAGGCGGCGGCGGTATACGAGCGCGCGACCAGCGGCCCTCTCAAGCAGTCTACCTTGCTGCACTTCGCACACGCGGATTACGAGGAAAGTCGACTGCATTATAATAAGGTAAATTAATTTCAATAAAAGTACATTTCTATTGAAACAATTACGTTAAAACATATCACTCTATGAAAAAAAAATAGGTTAAAGAAGTCATAATTAATGACAAAAAACACTGTAGAGTCTATATTGTTGTGATCGAATTGTAAATATTTATAAAATGTAGTAGTCGAATTTTGATTGAATTGCAAAAACGCCTACATTAAAATGAAATACATGTTCTGATTTATGATTTTTTAATAGGTGCACCAAGTATACACGAGATACCTAGACATGGAGGATATCGACCCCACGCTGGCGTACGTGCAGTACATGAAGTTCGCCCGACGTGCTGAGGGTATCAAGTCCGCCAGAACTGTATTTAAACGTGCCAGAGAAGATCCAAGGTTATTGTCGATTTTTAGTCAATACTAGCTTTCGCCCGCGACTCCGTCCGCGTGGAATTAAAAAAAAAACAAAAAAGAGTAGCCTATGTGTTCTTCCAGACTATCCTCTAAATCCATACCAAATTTCATTGAAATCCGTTCAGCCGTTTAGGCTACACACTCTAACAAACATCCATCCATCCATCGAAACTTTCGCACTTATAATATTAGTAAGATAAAAAAAATATATTAATTCATTTTTTAAAGCAAATAGCCGTAATTTTAACGTTTGCGATTTTACCAGCGGGGAATTATACAAACAAAGCTTGTAACAGTAAAAGTGAAATTCGGAAATTATTATGAACACAGATTTGCAAACATATAGACACAATAATGAAAAAAAAAAAACTTTTGAATTTTTAGAAATACGCCATGTCACTTTTTTATGGCCACACTCCTATTTTATTAATTCCTTACTTATAAACTCAATACGTCCATCGGGCCAAATTAGTTTTTAGAACTATAATAATACTAATATTTGTTCCCAGATCTCGTTACCACGTGTTCGTGTCGGCGGCGCTCATGGAGTATTATTGCTCTAAAGACAAGAACATCGCCTTCAGAATATTCGAACTCGGACTCAAGAAGTTCTCGCACATTCCTGAATATGTCCTCTGTTATATCGATTATTTGTCACATTTAAACGGTAATTTTTACCATTAAAACCTTTTTAATTTAATTAGTTTCAGTCAACTTTTTAACATGAAAAAAAATTGCGTTTGGTATGAAATTTTACTAAGCTAAACAATATGAAATTATTAGAAAATATGTTTATAGTTGTAAATAGTATTAAAAGAGACTTCACCTGCGGGAAATTAAAAAATATAGCCTATGTTACTGATAACGCAGCTTTTTAATGGTAAAAGTTGAAATCAGTCCAGTAATTTTTGAATTTCAATACACACAAAAATACAAATTTTTCCTCTTGATATTGGATATAGTAACGGATACCTTATGTAAAAATGTATCATTTTAAGTAATAAACAATTTATTTATTTATTTATTAGTATAGATAACAATGATACTGTCTTAAAATATTTTAACCACCAATCAGTAGCGATTTCAAAATAAATAAACCTACAAAACAAATGTGTAACCTGTCTATGATATTCGTAACTCTATGTTTTAGAGGACAACAACACTCGCGTACTATTCGAGCGCGTGCTGTCTTCGGGTAGCCTCAAACCGGAGAGTTCTGTGGACATATGGAACAGATTCTTGGAGTTTGAGTCCAATATAGGAGATCTCGTTAGTATCGTTAAAGTGGAGAAAAGAAGACAAGCGGTTTTAGAAAAGGTATGTTTTTAACTTCATTTTGATTTTATATTTTGACTAACTTTCGCCCGTGACTCTTCGCGCGAAATTAATAAATCAAATTTAAGTGGCCTACATGCTCTCCCAGACTATCCTCTACATCTATGCCAAATTTCATCGAGATCTGTTTTGAAGGTTAGGCTACAAACTCTAACAAAGATTTATATTAGGAAGAAGTAAGAAGGGATATAACTGGGTTTCGACTGCCTTGTAACATGTTGTTTACAGTTTTTGATGATATACAAATTAGACTGCGATCGAAACCCTAAATATAAAGCTGTTATCATAAAACTAGTCATTTATAATTTAGTTGTTCCTACCTTGCTGCATTTTATTGTTCGAAATTTTTTTTATTAAAAAAACAGGTGTTTAATACCCCTACGGGGACCGATTTACGATGGAATAGGCGATGCTAGAACATAATTATCTACTGAGATATCTTTTAAATGTTATTGAAAAACGTTTTTATTAACAATTTAAATAAAATAACTATAAAAGTAAAGTTTGTGTTATCAGATCAAAGAGTTCGAAGGCAAGGAGACGGCGCAGCTGGTGGACAGATACAAGTTCCTCGACCTGTACCCCTGCAGCATCGCGGAACTCAAGTCCATCGGGTACACTGAGGTACATTGAATTAACATTTTGGCTCCTACGTAAATAGTAAGATAAAGATAAAGATAAAGATAGCTTTATTTCCCTTATGATTACATTTTTTGTTTACATATTTACACTTATACTAAAAAAACACTAACAAAATATACTAAAAAATTCAAAATCTGACAATAAAACGTAAAAACAAAAATGTAAATATTTGTTAGTACGGTTAGTGTTCTTAAACAATTTCATGCAAAAAATATATTAGTATTGTTAGTCTTCTAACTCATCTTCTGTATAAGGGCCGACTGTCGCGGTAAAAGCCTCCTCCAGATTGTTCCATGTATTTCTGTCCTTGGTTAGCCTGGTCCAGCAGTGTCCCGCTATTTTGGCAATGTCGTCGCTCCATCTAAGATATGGTCTCCCTTTTGGTCTTTTGTGGTCTATGGGGTGCCAGTTTGTTATTATTTTTGCCCACCGTTCGTCTTTTACTCGTTGTGTATGTCCGGCCCACTTACACTTGAGGCGCAATATCTGTTGTGCGACATCCTTAGCATTTGTTCGTTTCCTGATTAACTTGTTATTTATTTTGTCTTTAAGTTTAAGTCCTAGGTAGCTCCTTTCGATTCCTCTCTGACATGTCTTTAGCTTGTTTAGATTTTTTTTTGTTAATGTCCAGGCTTGGCACGAGTACGTAAGGCATGGCAGAAGACAAATATTCATAGCCTTTGTTTTCAATTCTATAGGGATTCGACTTTTAAACACTTCCTTCATAGACCAATATTTGTTCCAAGTTCTTTTAATTCTTCTTTCTATTTCCTTATCTATGCCTGACTTGAAAGATATTAAATGTCCAAGGTAGATGTAGTCTTCGACGTATTCTAATGATTTATTTTCCAGCGTAATCTGTATATGCTCTCTATTTGTCATAATTTTTGTCTTGCTTTCGTTAATCTTCAATCCTACTAATCTACTCTGTACGGCCAGTGATCTTAACATGTATTCTAAATCTTCAGAGGATTCAGAAAATAGTACTATATCATCAGCGAATCTTAAATGACTTCAGTAACGTAAATAGTAGTAACTCGGAATTTGTACATTTTCAAAATTATTAAATTTTGAAATTACTTAACTATCGATGTTAAATTTGTAAGAAATTTGAAACATTAGAATTTAGAATGTATTTAAAAAAATAGTAAATTGAATTTTGACATTTTTTTGATGTTTTAGGTAGCATCCATGTCAAACAAATCGTGGGCATTGGGCGGCCCACTGGCCGGTATATCTCCGGAACTGGCTGCTGTTATACTCGGACAGAAGTGAGTTCTCTATATAAGATTACAACTAATTTATAACCTTACTAATTTTAAAAACTATGTAAAATAATTACATAAATAAAAACATCCGCTTTATTTGCAGAGACAACGATCCAAATAAAGACATCGTTCGTCCCGACGTTAACCAAATGATACCATACAAGCCCAAAGTAAATCCATTGCCTGGAGAACATCCTATATCAGGTGAGTAGTGAACAACACAAACAAATTGTAGTTTATTAAATGTACTACAATTTGGTGTGCTTAGTAAAAAAAATGGCCGTAAAGATATCTTACTAATATTATAATTGCAAAAGAGAAGATGGATGTATATTAGAGTTTGCCGCCTAAACGACTGAATGGTTCATAATTACATTTTAATATAAATGTAGAGGATAGTGTGAAAGAATACATAGAGTACTAATTTTGTGTTGGATTTTGTGTCAAAATAAGCACTATATATTATTATATGATTATTTGTTATATGATTAACTTTATTTATTAAGGAACATAACAGAAATAATAGTGACATACAAGGCGATAATAAAAACAAAGAATAGTAATTTGACACAGACAAAAGATCAATAATCATAGATCAATCGATATCGAACACAGACTATAAATAATAGACAAATTGTTTCGTTTACATTAATCGATTTTTAACACAGTCTGGAAGAACACATAGGTTCACATTTTTTAATAATAGCGGGAAATAAGCTATTTTTCTATATATTTGTGTATCAGGTGGTACGTTCCCGATGCCGAGCCCGTGTGCGCACCTGTGTACGCTGATGCCGCCGCCCGCCTGCTTCCGCGGACCATTCGTAGCTGTGGACCGCCTCATGCAGCTCTTCAACCGCATCACGCTGCCCGACAAACGTAAGTCTAGAACCAGGGTATAACAACCAATACTTCCAATTTTAGGAATTATCTGTCATAAAAACTTTTAAGGCAAAAAAATATACACTGTTTATTTTAAGTTTAACAGTGGTAGAGCCCGCTTTAACATCTTCACACGAATGGGCCTGCTCGCCCCGTGTAATACCACGGCCACACAGAAAACAGGCGTGAAGTGGAAGCAATTCCGCGTTTCGTCTGATGAGTGTGGTGCCGGAGGCCTAATTTTAGTCCCTTTCCCGTTCCACCCTTTTCTTAAGAGTAGAGGGTGGGAAGGAAAAGTGGATTTGACGGTGCAGAAGACGCATAATAAGGGGAAATATCCTCTTTAGGTGCGTCTCCTCCTCCGTCAATGAAGGGTAGGCAACGCATCTACAATTGCAGATGTTTATGGGCAGCTGTCGCTTTCCATTTCGGTGGATTCGGGTGGCCGCTTGCTCGTTTGCCACCTTATATTATAGAAAAAAAACTATTTTTAAATATACATCAAGTGTAATATCTTACTTCTTACTTTGATATTATAAATGAGAAAGTTTAGATGGATGTTTGTTAGAGTTTGTAGTCTAAATGGCTGAACAGATTTAAATGAAATTTAGTACAAGATGTAAGAGATAGGAAGAACACAGAGTTAAACTTTTGTTTTTTTTTTTAATTTACACGGACGGAGTCGCGAGCAAAGTCTAGTAGTATAATAGTATCTTGCTGTGATTTCGTTTGTTTTGTATTATTTCTTTATAGATTTAGATAAGCAGATTTTTATAATAAATATTTTTTTCATTCAGCGCCCGCGCCCACACAAGAGAATGGCTGCGACACGAAGCTGTTTGACTTAGCGCGTTCCGTGCACTGGATAGTCGATGATGAAGGAATAACTACTGTCTCTAATAAGGTAACAATAATTGTCTATAAAATCTGTTAACAGATTATTTACGTGATAACGTCACATGTCAATCGTGTCTATCGCTTGTTTAGAACTCTCGCTCTCACGCTCAAGTATGTGACAATAATCATTTTTTACGTCCAGCTAGTGTTACGTCGAAAATATATAAAGACTATCATATCAAAGAGATTTATTGAAAATTCAAACTATGTCCTCGCGTATTTGTTGATGATTAATAAAATGATTTAAACACCCCTTGACAGGTTTTCTTTTTTCCTTGTCAAAGTATTCTTGTAACATAATACAATATTGTCAGACTACCAACTGAATATACTGAAAACTTTCAGGTGAGAAGAAGAAAAATCGGCGAAGATTCAGATGACGATGACCTGGGCGTCGCGCCACCGGTCAACGACATCTATCGGCAGAGGCAACAAAAACGAGTTAAATAAACCCCAGCAACTGGATTATAAATAATTGAATATAATATTCGTCTGACGATTTTATTAAGTCGAACTGTGAATGAATGTATTCTGGATTTTTTTTTACAATAAAGTTATTAATTAAATAGCAATTTGTTTTATTCGATACTAGCTTTCGCCCGCGACTCCGTCAGAATCATTAATGTTTTATCATGAAAACAAGTTAACATCCAATTATGTTAAATTTAATAAAGACATATTGGAGTAAATTACTTTATAAAAGCTTGTTATGTAAGATCGGACAATAATATTTAATGAAGCTGTGTACAGATTTTAATTAACTGACTCACGCGTAATTTCTGCTAGGACAACAGGAAAACAGAAGGATAAATGTCATTGTAAGAAAATAAGTAGAAATAAAACAACGTAAACTGCGGTAAAACAGTAATAAATCGGATATTAAAGTAATTATGTTGAGTGTTGTAAGACAATTTACACATTTAAGAAAATCGAATGCGTTGCTGAGAAATTTACCGCCATTTTACAATGTGAAGTGAGTTAACTTTTTTTATTTTAACAATTTACTTTTTATAAATTTTAATGATATAACCAGTTAAGATTCTAAAATAACAAACGTTTATATTTCAATGACTGATAATAATAGGGTCAATTTAAATTAGTTGTCATAGAGATGCGCACCGGTGGATGCCAGATGCGGAATACGTTAAACAATTCGAAGGTGTTGTTATGTATCCTGATGAAGTTACATCAATGTTAAAACATTTACCTTACAACAGTAAGTAAAATTTATGAGAAATTAACTTGTATTAATATTCATATGTTAACTGTAGTGAATTTCATCAGGTATAGTGACGCCAACTGAAAAGAAAGTACGAAATATGGTGTTGAACTTCGGACCGCAGCATCCAGCGGCTCACGGCGTACTCCGACTTGTTTTAGAATTGGATGGGGAGGTAACCTCATTTCCATTTCAATTATTAACTCTTGTATTGATCCGCTACACACTTATGACTTTTTATTCTAGACGGTCCGTGGCGCTATTCCCCATATCGGTCTTCTACACCGTGGCACAGAGAAACTGATTGAATACAAGACGTATACGCAGGCATTACCTTACTTTGACCGTCTCGACTATGTCTCCATGATGTGTAACGAACAATGTTACAGCTTGGCTGTTGAGAAACTACTCAATATCGATATACCGATACGGGCTAAGTATATTAGAAGTAAGCATGTTAAGAAACATTTTTTTCTCAAAGAATTAGTAGAAACTCACATATTACATACCTAGTACCAAACTTTTTAGTTAGTGTTTCAAAGATAAATCGTTAACTTTTAATTTGTAGCGCTTTTCGCTGAACTTACTCGTATCCTAAACCACATCTTGGCTGTGACTACGCACGCGGTAGACATCGGGGCGATTACTCCGCTGTTCTGGCTGTTTGAGGAGCGCGAGAAGATTATGGAAATGTATGAACGTGTGAGCGGCGCGCGAATGCACGCGGCCTACATACGTCCTGGAGGCGTGGCTATTGTAAGTGTTTGTTTTATGTTGCTACCTGAAACATGTGCTACCATAGTTTAGAACAACATAATTTTTGGCCTTCGCTATGAGTTGAAATGCAGACAGACAAGGCAAAATCAGCCAGAAGATCGATGTCAACTGAAACCATACTGTAAAAATTACATGTAATTTGGTAACCTCCTAGTCCTTTCTCCTTTTTTCACCAGAATAAACTCTTTGAAATTGTATACTAATGTTAATGGATAAAATACATGACTTTTTAGGATATGCCATTAGGTTTAATGGATGACATATACGAGTTTGCGACAAAGTTTTCGGAACGATTGGACGAGGTGGAAGATGTGCTCACGACAAACAGAATTTGGGTGCAGAGGACGAAAGATATTGGAGTAGTCACTGCTGAAGACGCTCTTAATTATGGATTCAGGTATGGTCGATTGGTCCTTCTTACTTTGACGGTGTTCTCCGTACCGCGCCTTACCACTACGACAGCCCTGACGATTTGTATGGCAAAAGAAAGGATAAAGATCGATAACTTAGAAACTTACCCCTTTCATATGCTTTACATTTTCAGCGGAGTAATGTTACGGGGTTCTGGTATCAAGTGGGATTTACGCAAAACACAACCCTATGATGCGTATGAGATGGTAGAATTTGATGTTCCTATAGGAAGTTATGGTGACTGCTACGACAGGTAAGATTTTATGGGTGTTTCCTCAATATAAAATTTACCTGGTGATCCCTCCATCAAGACAACAATTTTGTCGTTTGTAGATACTTATGTCGTATGGGGGAAATGCGTCAATCTTTGCGTATAATAGACCAGTGTCTTAATAATATGCCGCCTGGCGAAATAAAAACTGATGACGCTAAAGTGACTCCACCGTCACGCAAAGAAATGAAGGTACTAGTTAGTTAAAATTATCTTACTTATGAATTATCGCAATATGTTTTCTGCTATTGTTTCTTTGTCTTAATTGTAGATATCAATGGAAGCTTTAATCCACCACTTCAAGTTATTCTCTCAAGGGTATCAGGTACCTCCAGGTTCCACCTATACCGCTATAGAATCGCCTAAAGGAGAGTTTGGCGTGTACCTGGTTTCCGATGGAGAATCTAAGCCATATAGGTAATTACTCATTTTGTAAGCAAAATATGAAAGTCATTAAAGGAAAACATTTTTTTACTTACTATTGCACTTTTTACTTCTAGATGCAAGATCAAGGCGCCCGGATTCGCGCACTTGGCCGCTCTAGAGAAAGTGGGCAAGAACTCTATGTTAGCCGACATTGTCGCCATTATTGGGACACTCGACATCGTATTTGGTGAAGTTGATCGATAACAATAGTTGCAGTCAAGTAACCATTTATTCAAATATTTTCTAGAGTTATGTCTTCATGGCCATAAAATATTTGACTGATTTTAATTAAAATTGCTAATCGCTATTACTGAACGCAACCATAACTGACGCAAATAAATGATTGACGTTTACCTTCTGACGTTTAATTGACGTTCCTTTCTATCAATAGTTCTGTCTAAAAATCCTTTCTTTTGGCCTTTTTTTCTTGAAGCTACGAATCAATGAATATGACATGATTGTTTAAATGTATTGAAAAGAAGTGTGCGAGAAACTTATAATTAAATAAAGTTTCCACTTCATGGATTCTAAGTGAACGACAGCGAATTAATTATTTGATATTTACACGATAACGTTAATCGTAACGTTGTAAGCCCGAAAATGGCATCGATTTTCAATGTTTTGCTGCGAAAATCCCCAAATTTAAGCCAATCTACAGCTCTATTTAAGAATTTACCAGCAGTTTACAATGTGAAGTAAGTGTTAATTTGTAAAAAATATGTATATAACGTTTTAATGTCGATTTATTATGGTTTATTATTATGTAACGCTAGAGGTTATATTTTAATTTCTAAATATTTGATCAATTGTTTGTAAAATTATAAAATTGCAGATAATTAAAGCATTTAATTCATTATCAAAACATAAGGAATTGTACTTTTTAGTTGAAAAAATGATATCGAAATCAAAATACGCTAGTAAACATTCTTAAGTTGTACATTTATTCCAGTTCTCAAAGAAATGCGCATCGATGGATGCCTGATGCGGAGTATGTTAAGCAATTTGAAGGGGCTGTAATGTACCCTGATGAAGTTACATCGCTTATGAAACATTTGCCTTACAACAGTAAGTTGAAAAGCACAAACAAGTACTTTTAATTACTTCTCTAAACTAATTTCTATCAAACAACTGAAATTATTAAATTTTCACGCTCTGTTATGTCCATAAAAATAAATTTTATATTAAAAATTAGCTTGGAGTTTTCAATTAATGTTAGTGGACATTGGGGTTTGTTTATTAAAATAAAAACATTTAAAATACAATCATATAACTATCCCAATGGCTGTGTTAAAGACGCAGTCTTTCTAAGTAGATGTTTTGTACAGGCATTATTGCACCAACTGAAAAGCAGGTGCGCAACATGGTGCTGAACTTTGGCCCCCAGCACCCTGCAGCCCACGGTGTACTCCGACTTGTTTTGGAGCTGGATGGTGAGGTAATTGTTTTTCTTATATTAATTATATTCACTCTTACATTAATTTTTGACCATAGACTAGCAAAACACTTGATATAAAAACAAAAATGTTTTTGTTCCAGTCAGATGTCTTTTCTGTTTAATTTTTGTAAAATATATTGGACAAAAACTATGTGCTCATCAACAGCCATGGACTATAACTTTATTGCTTATTCATGGCGAACCATAGGAGTGGCCTACATTAAGCTACTAACAATAACCTGCAATTTTGTTAACATACTTGTAGATCTTACTCCGCCAGCACAGTGACACAAATTATTAAATATTTTTATTTTGTAATATGTATTATAGACGGTGAGAGCAGCTGATCCCCATATTGGTCTTCTACACCGTGGCACTGAGAAACTGATTGAATACAAGACATATACCCAGGCATTGCCTTACTTTGACCGTCTTGACTACGTCTCCATGATGTGTAATGAACAATGCTTCAGCTTAGCTGTTGAAAAACTATTGAACATTGATATACCTATTCGAGCTAAGTATATTAGAAGTAAGTATTTTGAAATCACAATTATTATACATACTTGTGGAGTGAATAATGAATTATATGTGCAATAGTAAAAATAGATAATGTAGATATTTATTTATATGTTTAATTACATGAAAGTGTTAAAATACAGTTTACTTCACAATACAGTTCTCTAAACATACATCTGACTCGGGGGTCCAAATCATCATGAGTTGCAATACTTTATTGGTCCCATTTGTGTACCTAATTTTCTTAAGTTTATTATGTCCCATTAAAGTTTTAATTGTTCTTTGTTTTATTGATTTCCAGCCTTGTTTTGTGAGTTGACACGTATCAGGAACCACATAATGGCGGTGGCGACACATGCTCTGGATATTGGAGCGTTGACTCCATTGTTCTGGCTGTTTGAGGAGAGAGAGAAGTTAATGGAACTGTACGAGAGAGTCAGTGGAGCTCGTATGCACGCGGCGTATATACGACCAGGTGGTGTGGCACTGGTGAGTAGCAATTCAAGAATAAAGTTGCATAATGGGTATGAAGGTAGAGGAAGTCTGAAGGAAGTATGGATTGGGAGAAAGAGGATATGGTAAAGGCAGTGATTTTATACTATGAGTGATAGAGATGTATGGAAGAGTAGCATTTAATATGCCGACCCTTAGTGCTAGAGATAATGGCGGGTTGATAGTGTAGCACTGGTAAGTACAAGTTAAATAAACCATGGAGTATTTATGTTCAACAAAGTGTTTGGTACAAGTATAACTTTGTGATGGTATAATTACTATTTACTAAGTATTTATTTTCAAGTTTGTCTCGAACAATTTTTTAGAAAAGTTTACAATTTGCTGGTGTATTTTCTTTTGCCTGAATTTTTATATATTTCAGGACATGCCATTAGGTCTTATGGACGATATCTATGAATTTGCTTCTAAATTCTCTGAGCGTCTGGATGAGGTGGAGGATTTGCTCACCACCAACAGAATCTGGGTGCAGCGGACCAAGGACATTGGAGTGGTCACCGCTGAGGATGCTCTTAACTATGGCTTTAGGTAATTTGTTGTTTTTATACAGTTCACTATAGTTATTATAGACTTTTGTATGTTTATTTTGTTTATGTAAGACTTGCTTCCCACATTACAAGCAATCATTATGTGTTATTTTATCAATGTCAGTGGAAATATGAAGAAGTTTTTCTCATTATTTACTGTTTATTAACCACTAAAATTTCTCAGTGTGGATTTACTTAAATATATGACAATAAGGTTGTTTCCATTAATTTTTAGTGGCGTGATGCTGCGAGGCTCCGGTATCAAGTGGGATCTTCGCAAGGCTCAGCCCTACGATGCCTACCACCTGGTGGACTTCGACGTGCCTATTGGAACTAAAGGCGATTGCTATGATAGGTATTGCTTTTTGAAAATATAACAGAAATCTTACTGATAATTATAAATTTTGTGATATGCAAATGAACACTATTGCTGTCTCTGTTTCTTTCATATGAGATGAGAGTATAGCACTATTGTTAGTACAAGTAGAGAATCATTGTGCGTTTTATGTATGCGGATGTACTGTATTGTACAGCTGAAATGTCAACTGTCATTTGATTTGTCATCTTCTGCAGAGATTCTCAACCTTTTTTTTATATTATTCGAGAACATTGTATTTTAAATTCTGCAGCCCATTAGTTGGTAGCAACTTCTAGTGGGATAACAATGTTTGCGTGTATTGGCAGTGGAAACTGACGGTTATGTTGTGTAGGTACTTATGTCGCGTGGAGGAGATGCGTCAGTCTCTGCGCATCGTGGACCAGTGCCTCAACCAGATGCCGCCAGGAGAAGTGAAGACGGATGACGCTAAGCTGACGCCGCCCGCCAGAGAGGAAATGAAGGTTTTTTGTTTTTCATTATTTTTTAACCGAAATGATAAGGTGTTTTAGCAATATCGATTACATTGTGACCTGTAGGTATAAACAATTTAATTGATAATAAAAAATGAGGTTTCGTTCAATTTTTATGAAGTGTTCGAGATGTTAAATCTGAATAATATTATTAACTAGCCGCTGCTCGCGGTTTCGCCCGCGTGAAATGAAAAAAATATAGCCTATGTTATTCATTGATACGCAGCTTTTAAATGGAGGAAGAATTTTTATAATCGGCCCAGTAGATTTTGAGTTATTTCAGTACATACAAAAATACAAATCTTTCCTGTTAATAATATTAGTATAGAAGTATAGATTGCTCATTGAAATTCTTAAAGTTGCACCTAAAGCATAAACAACTGTGATAATGAGGTTTTTGTTTTATTTTTCTTCATTTTACGAATTAAAGTAATTCCGAAACTATAGTGGTTTTTTTTTTACCAGACGTCGATGGAAGCGCTGATCCACCACTTCAAGCTGTTCTCGCAAGGGTACCAGGTGCCGCCGGGCTCCACCTACACCGCCATCGAAGCGCCCAAGGGGGAGTTCGGCGTCTACCTCGTCTCTGACGGCGGCTCCAAGCCCTACAGGTACGACTTTACTCGCATACAGGATGTTCAAAATAAAGGGTTTATTCGATTTATTTTTGACCACACTATAACTAAATTTCAATAAATATTGTGTACTTTTTATTTAAATTCAATTTTAATAAATACAAATGTGTTAATTTTGACATATTTGAATGTTTTGAAAATTGACATACCTTGCCTTTACTGACTTTTTATTTATTTTTTTCCATTACCTTGTTAATGTAACCTGTGAAAATTATTAACTATAACAGCTGTTAATGTTACTAAATTACTAACTATATTTCCAGATGCAAGATCAAGGCGCCCGGATTCGCTCACTTGGCCGCTTTAGAGAAAGTGGGCAGGAACTCTATGTTAGCCGACATTGTCGCCATTATTGGAACACTCGACATCGTGTTTGGAGAAGTTGATCGATAATTTAACGAATTATAGTTGAAATCAAGTGTAGAAATGTATAATTTTTATTTGTAAGCAATAAATTATTAAGGAAAACACTTTTTTTTAATAATTATTTCACTACAAATAATGTTGCTATAATAAATAGTGTTGCAAGTACTTTTATTGTCTATTTTGTAGTATTATCCTTAAGATTTTCACTTAAAGTTATATCTATTCTATAACTAGCTGTTTCTCGCGACTTCGTCCACGTGAAATTTATAAATAGTAAGGAAACAAGGTAGCTTTTGAATGGCGAAAGAAATTATGAAATTGGCCGAGTAGTTTTTGAGTTATCTTAATACATACAAAAATCTAACAGACAAATCTTTTCTCTTTATAATATTAGTATAGATTTTATTAGAAGATGTCTGTACTTTTTTACCCAAGAACAGATGTTCACAAAAATTGTTAAATTATTGCTGTTATTAAATGATATTAAAATAAGCAAGTATCCTTAATTTTTTATTCACTTAAAGCTATTCTTTTTCTTCGATTTCTGGAAGATCTCTGTCAGTTTCTTGATCGAAATAACCTTCTGGTACCTCGTAATCATCAGGAGGTCGCATCGGACCGAACACTCGTTTAACCGCTTTCTCCTTAGTTTCTAATTTAACTATTTCTTTACTATCGTTTTTTGAATCCTTTTTCTCTATTTCAGGTTCATTTTCTATTGATTTAATTTCATTTATTCCATTATCTTTTATTGATGTTTCGGTTTTGATTTTTGTTAGTTCATTTTCTTCATCCGAGTCCATTTCTTCAACAAATTCTGTTTCTTCTTTCTTCACTTGTTTTACTTTAGGTCGTTTTTCAGCGTCATCTTTTAATTTTAACCTATAGGAGATATTTAGAATATAGAGATGAATAAATAACACTAACTGTTGCACGCGACTTTGCCTGATTGAAATTAAAAAATTATGAAACTGTAGCCTATGCTACTCAGTGATAGCGTAACTTTTAAATGGTGAATTTTTGGAATTGGCCTAGTAGTTTTTGAATTATCCCAATACATACAAAGATACAATTCTTTCCTTTTTATTGTTATATATAATGTTTCATATTGTAGATTACAAACTGTGAACCAACACTTTTACTACAAAAGTTGTAGTGATAAATTTTTTACTAACCTTTTTCCGTAAACAACTGAATTAGAGGCGACTTTGACTATCATTTTCTTATCGTCTTTCTTGATGAGGGGCGGCGCGTGCGCAGGCCGCGCTATATCCGCTAGTTTTTGTGTTTTCGCTAACTCAGCCTTTAATTTTTGTATATTCATCTAAAAATATATAAAAAAAGTCAACCGTATTCAAAGAAAATTATGTACATCGACAATTTTCATCTTCTTCACTTTGTGTTATACTTTGGGAATAAGTCGAACTAAATTATAATCTCACTAGCGCCCTCTCGTCAATATTTAAGTGTCACTTTCATACATGCTAACAAGTTATTCTTTTATTCCATTTCCTATACCTTATGTGGATACATTTTGTGTACCATACATTGATTTTACATATTTTCTGAGAACCAACTGAAAGTAGCACCTCTTTTACGGTTCAGACCCTCAGGGTTTATCACAAATATTCGTGAGAAAATTTCCGTAACATCGAGAAAATTTGTATTATATTAGAGCCCCTACTGTGCGTAAATAATACCAAAACATCTTATGTTATCGATAAGTCACGAATATTTGTCACGTAAATTTTCGTGATAGACCCTCTGTTACGTACCTTAGTCTTTGATATGTCAGCTTTAACAGACATAGCTTGCGGCGTGTTAGCGAGCTGGTTCATGTACGCGTCCAGCGCGTCATCCTCGCTGCTAGCGGCCGCGGGGCTCTCGCCGCGAGCTCGCAAACGGCCCAGTGACTTCTCTTCCTTAATTATCTTCTGTTCTATTTCGTCTATTTGCTTAAGCTGAAAAGAATTATATTAATTTACACTTCAATATTACATGTCCATAATAAAAGTCGCTTTCACACGCAATGCAGTTTTTATTTGTTACGTCCTGCACCTGTGACGTAATTGGACGTAGGTTTTATGGTTTTGACTCAAAAATAATAATAAATATTTTTTTCAGACATGTACAATTAAAAACATAAAAATTTAAAAATAGATCACAAATATGAAAACTTTACAACAAATATAAGCCAAGAGTAAGTCCATTCCAGTAAATGTCACATTTTTATATCAAGGAAAAACTTTAATTTATTTTATATTCGACAACTCTACTTAAATTATGTGTATGTATACACCATAATTAATAAAAATCAATAAATATAAAAAAAAACCTTTTTAACCGACTTTCCAAAACAAGGAAGTATTCAATTTTTATGTTTTTTTTTCATTAATCTATTTTAACTGGATATCTATTAACTCACCAGATCATCATAAGTGAGTGGTTTATTATTTTTATCGTCCGCAGCTCCCAGTTTTATCATTCTCATGTTACGTTTCCTCTCCACGTGCCCGGTGCGGTCCAGGAACGAGTCCTCGTCAGAGTCGTAGTAGTCGTCCGCGCTCCAGTCGCGCTCCTTACGACGACGAGATTCTGAAATATTAAACGCTTTATTATTCCACCTGTACCCAAAGTACTTTTTTTTTTATAACATAAGGTGGCAAACGAGATAGCGGCCACCTGAATCCGCCAAAATGGCGAAGCAACCGCTGTCCATAGACATCCGCAACTACAGATACTTAGCCCACCCTTATCCGGATAACTCCCCTTCCTATGTATATCCTCCTCCGTCAAATCCACTTCCCCTTCCCATCCTCTCCTTATAAGAAAATGGTGGTAAAAAGAAAGGGACTTAAATTAGGCCTCCGGCACCACACTCATCAGACGAAACACGGAATTGCTTCCATTTCACGCCTGTCTTCTGTGTGGTCGTGGTATTACTGGGGGCGTGCCGGCCCTGCAGTGCTGAGATGTTAAAGCAGGCGCTACCACTGTTAAGTACTCTAATAACAATAATAGTATAGTTACTTGTGTAGCTTGAAATGTATTTTCACTAATTAAAAGCTAAAATTATCACTGAGTAGCATATTTATTACTAAACTGTTTTTAATTCTGCGTAGATAAAGTCGCTATCGTTTGTAATCAATGTTGAGTAATAATTAATAATTCCATGTGATAGCGTTTTTACATTTTTTATTTACTAAATCAGTCAACCATACATGGTTGTCGAAACAGTTGACACAATGACACAACCAATTTTAGTTGATCACATCAAGTCTTTTATTTTCAACTCAAACAAAGTAAGGTAACTTACAAACAAATGCACAATTTGTGAAAAAAAAAAAACAGTGTCTATAACAAGTGAAGTATTTGTATAGTTACCATGTTTAGACTGCCGCAGCAGTCCAGCCCTGTCCAGTACGCGGCAGGCCTCCAGCGCGCACGCGACCACCGCCTCCTTCTTCTTACCGCGGTGTATCACCTCCGCCACCACGGGACGACCACGAGCGTCGTCAATCGGTAGTTCCACCCTAAACAAATACTATTATATCTTTGTAACCAAGAATCACACAATTATTTTTAACGAATGCATTAACTCATAATTGTGCGATGAGACTACCAACTAGTTGAACAATTACTAAGGATTAATTCAACCAAGTAAAAGGCTTTTTGTTGAGATTACTACATATTGTATTTTAACATTAAACTTAACATACAATTAAACAATATTATTTTCTGAAATTATGTACCTGCAAATAAATTGGCCTATGCCTCTTTCTTCACAATCGTAGCTCAACTCGTGACCTTCTCTTTCAAAATATCCACGCAGTGTCTTTTTAGGGTCAGTTAAATAGAGCTCTTCGTTAGCGGTAGTAGCATATGGATTTTCTGCAAGATCTGGTTCTTCCTCTGCATCCTCACCTAGAAAAGACACATACAGGTGATCTAATATAAAGAATACAGGGCCGGCGTTAGGGTAGGGCGCGGTTAGTCATCCGCTCATGGCATTGGACATGAAAGGAGCGTCACCGGTTCGTGAAAAGTCTCATATAACCTTGATTACATAAAAGTGTTTTACAGATAAATCAAAAATCTTTGTATGACTAGTAAATAATTTAATTTACCCATTCCCCAATCAATGCCTTGTTCCTCTCTTTTTCTCTCTTCCTCTAATCTTTCCTTTTCCATAGCTTCCTTAGCTTCTTGTATCATCCTTGCTCGAGACAATTTCATGTCTAATGCTTTTTGTTTTATTTCTGTCACTGTTAACTCCGATTCACCTTCACAATCAAAGTCTGGGCCCTGAAAAATTTGATATATAAGGCATAAAAAAAAGATAAACTGGTATCCATTGGTAAAACACCTTTACAAAAGAACATCGTTTTTTTTAAGAGGAAAATGTCATTACATTTTTCAAAATCTTGGTAGCCCAAGGTCATTCGTACATTTCACAGTACTTACTCCGCTTTGAGCTACTACATGAAAAATTGTGTTCTTCATATTGACTCCTTTGAAGTTAAGAGCCACCAAGATATATGAAAAGTCTAAGACATTCTACTGATTTTTTCATAACAGTGAACTAGCAAGTTAATTCAGTGGAATTGCAATCATACTAATATTATCACACCAATATTATAAATCTGAAAGTTTAGATAGATGGATGGATGGATGGATGTTTGTTAGAGTTTATAGCTTAAATGGTTGAACGGATTTAGATGAAATTTGGTATAGATCTATAGAATAGTCTGGAAGAACACATAGACTACTCACTTTGTTAATAAAAGTTATGGTATTGAATATAAAATTAGTCTAAATAATACATTACAAGCAAAATATAAGTCCTGGTGCTGTTTCCAAACTTGATTTGATGACCGACTCGGACTCTGCTGTAGTGCTTCTCTTTTATTCTGTCTCGGTTTAGGAATGTACCGTGAGTGCTGCCCAGATCATACAAGTACCAACCACAAGGCGGTTCACCTTCTTCAGCAAATGCTTTATATTGCAGGACACTATGGTGCCTATGAAATAATAAATATTCTTACATGATAATCATCATCATCTCCCCATCCATATTCTACTGCATTTTAATATTGAATTGTAAAGAAACATTTGCAAGTTATTAAAGCCAGAGTAAGTTTTTGGCAGAAAAAAAAAACACTAGTTTTAACAAAACTTTCTTCTTGCACTGACAACATATCATACTATATTTTATTATATTTAAACATATGGCATTATATTCTTGAACTCTCTGTGAGTAAACAAAACATTACCTTGATATTGTTGGATGTGCCATCACAACATCACAATTTGCTAGTCTTCCAAAAACATAGAATGGTTTTGTGGTCAAGTCAACCTTTTCAACAATCATACCAGATTTCAACACTTCTAGGCCATATTCTGAACCTGGAAACAAAACTTTAAATTAATAGTCTACCACAAAGACCTAGAAAGAGATTAGATGGATTGAGTGTTGATTTGGAGATGTAAGTCAATACAATACAAACCATCCGGACAAATTCCTGACCATTTGGGTTCTTTATAGGGTATGGGTGTAGCAAGCTCCTTGATGAGAACCGCCGGTGGTAGTGAACTTTTAGCGATCGGTTCTGATGTTTGTGTATTAGGTCCTTCTGTTTTGGGTTCTTTAAGATTATCGACTTCTTGTTTCACCTTTTTTGGAAGTTTTCCAATGCGTCCAACGAGTACTGGCTTCTTGAATTCTATGTCTTCATTTTTGTTTTTAGTTTCATCTTCCATGATAGGTTATTAAAATTTGAAAAACGCAAAATAGCACACTGCACTACAATAATTCTTATTGGTAAAATTATAATTTGAGGAATGTAGTAAAAGTAAAAGCACTGAATACTATTTAATAATTAATGTAAGTAAATATTGACAAGAAACTTGACCGTATGTAAATGTCAAGTTGACATTAGTGAAATTATTGCAATACTACTTTACGCCTTTTTTGCCTTATGAATTAATTCATTGGTGTGATAAATACAATTTTTGAGAATAAATCATAACATGAAATAAATCATAACGGAATAGTATCAAATAATAACAAAACAAGATGAAAAATTACGCAATAAGAATGATTATTGTCAGTTAGGAATGAATGAAACGAAGACTACTTCACGGTTTATACTTTGCCAGTACAGTTGGACAGTTTGATGGCTATTCAAAGATAGTATGGACTTACTGCCGCACATTGGGCTGCATCCAGTCGCTCCATAGACAACTTTATCTGATGTTTGAAATGTCTCTTTTTTTGCTTGAATGTGCTTTGTATCAGTAAATGCATACCTTATAACGTAATATTTATCTTGTATCGATGTTTTTGGTGCAATTAGAGCGTTTTCTCTGAAAATTTGTATGGAGTCGCCCTCAAAATTGGCGATAACTCAACTATCGCACAATTGCGCCTTATTTTCTCTGAGATTACGTTTGTACAACTTGTAACGATTTTTTTGGTATACTATTGGACACGGGCATGGGTGCGATTTTTGACTTATTCAAGGTCAAAGGTCATAAAAATTACTTTTTTGCATATTTCAGCGGAATGGTTAGCTTTATCAAAAAGTTGACTAGGACGAAGTTGTAGATCATGAAATTGCCTATAAAATATCCATACATACTTTTTTCATAAGAGCCATAGTTTCAGAGATATAGCGATTTGCACATCCAAATTGTCCCGATTAATATACCCGATACTTTAATAACTAATAATCCCTAACCACTAGAACCAGAGGTTTGAAATTATGCGCAAAAGTTTCTATTATTGTTTTAGGTGAGCGCTAAGAAAGGATTTTACGAAAATATATTGCTGTCAAATTTTGTCTGCTATTTTATTTTTTATTCTTCTTTCTTCTTCCTTTACCACTGCTGTACTTTCTTTGACAAAAGTGAACTATACAGGACGACCATATGCGGCCGAGCAAAGTTTATGATTCTACCAGATTGACTCTCCTTCACAAGTCATTTTTAATGGCACTAATGACGTCATAAAAATGCTGGAATCGTCGTTTTCAAAATCCTTCCTTTGCTTGTGTCTACTCTGACTTGATGCTCCATCGAAACCCCACTTACTAATCTACTGCAATTGTTTGTTTTTAACATTACAAACAGAAACTAATTATGAAAATGTATCTACTGCTAGTGAATAAGTTAATTTTTTAAGTTAGTAAGATCAATATTATATCGAATACAAAAGTATCATTCGTTATTAACTTTTTCTGTCCTATCTTTAATTAATTTTTTATTATTTTTAAAATTGTAGTTATGATTTGACAAGTCACTTTGCTTGAAAATCTTTCCATGCAATTTTCAACCCCCACGTTGGATATTTACGGGACGATTTTCGTAAAATCTATTCTTAGCACTCATCTAAAACAGTAATAGAAACTTTTACGCAAAATTTCAAACCTCTGGTTCTAGTGGTTAGGGATTATTAGTTATTAAAGTATCAGGTATATTAATCGGAACAATTTGGATGTGCAAATCGCTATATCTCTGAAACTATGGCTCTTATGAAAAAAAGTATGTATGGATATTTTATAGGCAATTTCATGATCTACAACTTCGTCCTAGTCAACTTTTTGATAAAGCTAACCATTCCGCTGAAATATGCGAAAAAGTAATTTTTATGACCTTTGACCTTGAATAAGTCAAAAATCGCACCGTATACCAAAAAAATCGTTACAAGTTGTACAAACGTAATCTCAGAGAAAATAAGGCGCAATTGTGCGATAGTTGAGTTATCGCCAATTTTGAGGGCGACTCCATACAAATTTTCAGAGAAAACGCTCTAATTGCGCCAAAAACATCGATACAAGATAAATATTACGTTATAAGGTATGTATTTACTGATACAAAGCACATTTAAGCAAAAAAAAGAGACATTTCAAACATTAGATAAAGTTGTCTATGGAGCGACTGGATACAGCCCAATGTGTGCCGCTTGTTAGCGTTCACACAGTGTCAGTTGATTGCCAGTCCAGTTTTTGAGCTCTCTGATCAACTGTACTGGCTAAATGTAAACCGCGCATTACTGAACGAATGAAAGAATGAAACAAAGCGCCATATCAATCAATCAATCAATTCAAACGAATTTGTGCCGACAGCTAACCGATTCATAATTTTGTTACCGTGAATATTATTTCGAACATAACTTTATTATCATCAAGTGTTTTCATTTACTTGTGTGTGTATCAGTTATAGTGATAAAACATAACAGTGTATTCATGTGACAAAGTGACCATATTGTTCGACTTCGTATACAAGGTATTTGAACAAAGATTTACCTGTAATTAGAATAATCCGCAACCTTATCAATGTTGATCATATCTATAGATGATTGATACCGTAACTAACACAGAATATTTGCAGATTGTTGTCAGGAATTAAGATAAATTTCGTAAAATGCGGCTAGTGCGTAACGAAAAAATATTTCTTTTTTCTTAATTTTTGGGTTATGTTGTCGTTTCTAGGAAGGTTGAATCATACTATTGTTTATTAAGTGAAAGCAATTCTCCAGGTCACGGTATTCTATAACATATTATCGTTTTCATCTTGCCAATAATCCAATATTAGATGGTATCTTAAACAATTTGTAACCAATTTCTCTTCACGCACCTTAAAATTGATTGTTCAAATAAACTTTTACCTTATATAATTTGCCTCGAGCAGTGTTTCAAGTTGTGAATTTAGAAATTTGCTATGCACAAACCAGTCTCACAATCAAGGTCACTTCGTGTTTATTATATTTGCCTGTACTTTATAAAAAATCAAAATACTGGACTGAGACCTTTATGTGACTTTGTGATTCGTTTCTTTATATTTAAGTGTTTTGATTTTTTTTATTCAACATATTAAGAATAGTTATAACATGTACTGCATAAAATTTATCAACTAACAATCTATAAATTGGTGAAATGTATGTATGTTTACTATTTACTACCCATATTTGTGTAGTCACGGAAGTAGATGTTTGACTACATACTTCAATGTACTGCATATCACCGTTATCTACAAGTATCCCTGGCACTGACACTAACTTTTTAATGATAAAAGCTGTTTTTATCATTTAATATATTGATAAAGAGAAATTTCGGTGATATTTCATGTCTGTTTACAAAATGTGTTCACTTGTAATTTATTATTTTTTTTTATTTTGCCTTACTTAACTTATTTAAGCAAAACAAGTAAGCAGAAAGTCTTCCAATACTGACATTATATTAGAAAAAAAAACTCTTTTATAACAATAAAATAAGTATTTCTAAACTTATCTATACTAATATTATAAAAAGTAATGATTTTTATTTTTGTATTAAATTGTATTTTATGTATTGAAATAACTCAAAAACTTCTGGGCCGATTTGTAAAATTCTTTCACTAGTAAAAGCTATATTATCGCTGAGTAAAATAGGCTATATATTCAATTTTATGTTGACGAAGTCTCACAACAGCTAGTTTGACTATAAAAGGAGTGCCAATATGTCTCTCATTATAATAAACAGTTAAAATTAATTAACTAAGGGTATCTACTGGCCCGATCTACATTCAAAATGCTTTGTTCCTCTCTTTCTCTTAGAAAAAAATTAGATAAAATGTAACAAGTATTCAACAGTGGAAACAGAAGAATTTAACAGTCAAATAATAATATTTGATAATATGCATATGCTGTATGTGTAAATTATTATTGCTTTAGGTCAGATACCTTTGTTTACACAATATAAATGTTTAGCTGTTGTGTTACATATGACATAATATAATAAATAGAGTGGCAAAGTAATAAAGACTGTATTGTATTGATTGACTGTAGGTCTTTTCTAACACTACTAAAGAAATAATATACTGTTGAAATTTGGGTTGGTATGTCTGTTAACTAAACTTACATCTTCTTTCTGTCCTGAAGTCCTGTCCTCTTTGATGTGTCAGAGTAATATGGAAACATGTCAAATAATTCAACTTATCTTCCCAATTCATATCTTGTGTGCAGTAAGTCTGAAGTAACTTAGAGGTCTCAATATGTGGACCTCAAAGTCCTTTGTCATCTAAATATATTTTTATTTTAATTATACGCGATATTGACGTAATTAAAAATATGTTAAAGAAATTTGATTTACAAATAATTTATAATGACATAATAAAAATAACTAAAACTAGTGATATAACAATATTATAATATTAAATAGTGTGACATAAATTTGTTACAATAAGTATGTTTGTGGACTCTGTTCTTGCTGATTTGGCTAATTGAAAAAGCTTAAAATTAGGATCTAGATGGTTTAGAATTTAAAGCAATGGGTTCTTTATCAAATCCATTCATAACCTTTAGGTCTAAAACATTATCTTGTAATGGTATCATGATGATTTCGAGTTCTTCCACAGAAAAATTGTGTTTAGGTTTCATGTATAATAGAATTAAGATTTGTTTTTAAAGTATTTGTTAAGTAATGCGAAAGGCACGAACTGTAGCCTCAATCACGCCGTGCATGTCAACAAGTGAAGGAAAACCTTGATTGAATTACCAAATGTAATGTCACAGAATTACGTCTAACCTAGATTTGGTAATATTATCCACTATAATTTGAATATCTTATTTAAAGGAGCATAACGTGTTATAGGCTATTGGAATGTTTTACTAAACTTAAACTTTAATGTGGCAATTATAACTTAACTAGCTTCTGCTCTAGACTTCGTCCGCGTGGCAACGAAACTTACTGTGCTTTACGTCTGTGCCGAATATTGAGCTTCGTTAAGCCGTTAAGCCGATACGTAGTTATACCAATCCATCCAATCTTTAGTATTTATAATATTAGTATGATAAAAACGGCTACATTCAGTCCATCGGGGTTTCTTTAGGATGAGTGAGACTGGTATTATATCGCGCCCGAATTCGGTCTTTCACTGCAGGACACTCTTCTTTTTTTTAATGAATAGTCGACACCATCCTTATTTCGATGATTTCGCCAACGTCAAAGTTGAAGATAATCGAAAGTATAAAAAACAAGACCAAAACTTTGAATAGCAGCTAACTAGATAGACGGAATCCAGTGTGATTGACAAATAACCACTAAAACTCTTGTTTGTTTGTCTACCGTTAATTTGGTCGTAGTCTTGTAACTTGCCAGGCCCAAATTCACAATAACTTGATACCAATTGTTGTTAACATTGTCTTCTTTTAAGTCGCTTTTTTTTTGTGACAAACATAACCGTAGTTTACGTATTACTATCGACAATTTTACACTATTATTGTATAAATCACATTTCATTTTGACACTTACGGTATATTTTTATAAAGGTACTTGTTGTATGGCAAAGATGTAGTATTTTTTTCCCACAAAACAACGGTAGACTAATGTCAGTATGTGGGTAAGAGACCACGTCATAGAAGTGCCGTGGAGACCGTTACTAAATGACTACATTGGAGCGGTATCAAGCGTAATTAGTTTTTTTTTTTAAATATGAGTCAAAGTAGCTCATGTTGAGTATTAAATCATACAAATAATAGATATACGAAAGTTTAGATGGATGGATGATTGTTTGTTAGAGTTTATAAGCTAAATGGCTGAACGAATAGAGATGAAATTTGGTATAGATGTAGAGGTTAGTCTGGAAGAGCGCATAGGCTCCTGACTTTTTTTTCCACGCGGACGAAGTTGCGGGTGAAACCTAGTATATATAACACAGGTTAGTTTTGATTTTTCATACAACTTATACTTAGAGCGTGTTTAAATGACTAATTAACAATTCAGTATGGCATTTAAGATATTTGTTACCTTTAGATGCTTACAATGAAATCAAGGTGCTTATCTTTGCTGAACAATGTCTCAATGGTTGATTTAAAGCCTTCCTCGTCTTTTTGATTTGCTTTAACCTTTGATTGCCTTTCCATATATTGAATAAAATCACATATATAGACATATCCTATTGACTTTCAATTTTCTTAAATGTCAATATATGATAGGTAATTTAAAAAAAAGGCGGCTATACCGAACCGTGTTTCGAGTTCGATAAAATTATCGAACTTAAAATTTGCATTTCGTATCATTTTTAAGTTGGGGTCTATTAGAAATACATTAATTACTTAATATCAAGGGCACTTCATTTGGTTTATGAGAACAATTTTAATGTTATTTTAATATATACTGTAAGTGAATGGAAATGTCAATAGGGGACATCTAAGGTGAAGGTATGGCGACAAGATTAATTACGTAATTGGCACCTATTCAGAATATCACGAGGACATTATTTTTCTAAGTTGTTTCTTGGTCTCTTGCCCTCATTGTATTGGTATTTAGAAGATAATACTACATTAATATTGAATTAAAAAAAAAATTAATACTTTATCCAAAACAGTTTTGTACAATTAGTGGGAGTCTGTCTCCTGAGCCAGTAATAACTGTGTTTCAGGAGGCAGGGCCTTCTTTTAACGATTGTATAATATATAGTAATTTCATACAAGTTTATCAGTCGTCATATCTAAATGAACTCCCTTGCGCATATCCTCTTTCACACAATCTATCCATAGTTTTTATATTTCCTCGTCATTCTCCTATCCTTCCTTCCCTCGTATGATTATTTGCATAAAGTAAATCAATAAGCGGTAATACATCCTCACGTCTTTCGTAAACGAATGTAATTAATGTATGTTATTGTAAGTGTTGCCCAATACTTGCATACGAAGTCTATTGTGACGTCAATGGTCGCAGGAAAGACAAGACTTGTAACGTGCATTGTACTGTCTGTATGGTGACATGGAACTGTGATACTTTGGATGTGGTATTGTTTTGATTACTTAGAAGTACACGTTTTTACAGATTTGGTTTTTGTAAATATGCCATATCCTTTATTTTTTTATTCCTCCCATCCATTGTCATCAACTGCGTATAGTTCTAGTTTTATAAGTTTTATAAATAGGAAAATTATATTACTGTAGTGGTTTGACTGACTTGTTGGTTGTTTATTTAACTACGCATAATGCTGCAAATAAATATATGCATGTTTGCTACATTTTCCTCATGTAAGGTGTGAATATAAATAGATTTTTCGCCATATAAATCCACTATAAAATACATATAAATGTCAAAGTGGTGATTTTAATACATTTTGTAAAAAAAATGTTTATCATTTTATATCATATGTTATTGCAATACGAAGGGCGTTTCCTATCATTTTGTGGTATTAGTGTGATAAATTTCGTTGTAACGTTATAATAATATCAATTGCAATCGAATACTGACTCCGATAGTAAATATCTAAAGTTCGTATCAACCTTG